TACAGCTAGATGCACAACTACTTGTTAGGCTTCCTAAAGACTTAGAAAACCATTAAAAAGCCCCGGACCACACTATTTGGAATGTATCGGAGACAGCTGAACACTGCAGCCAGTGCATCTGGATGGGAAGGAAAAATCCCAGCTGGGCCCAAACAAAGCCGGGACACGCTTCCAGGCTTGTGGTGGACCTGCGTCGCCACAGAGCTGAGGTCTGAACCCACACAGGTGGCACAGCTGCTGGCCATTTCCTCATTAGTAAATAGACAGCATCTTCTCCCACACGTTTGCCAGGTGGTGGTGCTGCTGGTCGGTTGTTTTAGCGGTGTCGCCGGCTGCTGTTTGTTAGCAGCCTTTGCTCTGGCTTTTGACACCGCCAGCTGAAATCATTGGCTTTTGACCAGAAAGTTATGAAAATGGTCCACTGTGAGTTTTTAATGTAGAAAGGCTTTTTTTAAATCATTGTTTATGGTCATTTTTCAAACCATTCATCATCGTTTTTAAATACTGACTGTTCTATATATATACTTTTTTTTTTTCTCTTACTGAATCAGTGGCCCATATTCCTAAAACCCTTTCACGTGTAGCCCAGAGCTATACTGGTGTCCCACGTCAGAATTCATGAACATGACGTAACTCAATTTTCACCATATCTCGGAGCTCACATACTGCACATAAGTACCTCTCACCTAGGCTAAAACAGTGGTGACATCATAATCTAGAGACCAGTAAATGTAAACAAAGCTGTCTTACTTTGAGAACATACAATTACTAAAAAACAAAGGATGAAATACAAGTTGAACATATGTCTAAACATAATTTTGTTTTACCTTCTAACTTAAACATGAACACAAATCTAAGGCTCACAAAATAAAAAAATTAAAAGTCAGATGAACTCTACGACTAATATTTCTAAATATCACCAGAAAAAAAAACTTAATAATAATAATAATTAGTGGACCTATGTGTTTCACACCACTGATTAAGTCAGTCTGTAGAAATTCCTGTGCATGTCGGCAGTTTGTAGAACTCGTCAAGAGCCTCTTTAAAACTTCAGTAAAGTCTGGTCTATTTATATATATATATGTTTCCACCTTATTTGCACACTCTTTTCAAAATAGAGTGACTTGAATATTTTGTTTCTCAGGTCTTGTTTGTCCCTGTGTTAAGACCTCTTTCAACAGACCACCATTCTGTTATAGTGTTTTGCGAGAATCTTTTTTGCTTTCTAAACCATATTGCCAAAACAAAAATATAGAGATGTTATCACAGCTCAGGGAGGTTGTTTATAAGCTGCTCCCTCCTTCTGCAAGTTGAAATGTGTTCTTTGACTCCAGCATTCACAGTCCAGTGTCTATTTTTTTCCTATAATAGGGCTGTGGGGTACGCTTTTCTCCAGAAAGTAAATGTTTATGAGGTGAAGATTGTTTGCCTGGGGGGGGGGACCAGTGGAGGCGTTTAACTAGTGGGGATCGTGGGTTGTTGCTTAATATAAATTGAAGCTTTCTTTTATTTTGAAAATACATAGTCCAGATGATCAGGAAGGATGACTAATAAATACAAATTAATTATTATTATAATTGTAAATATGAATGAGATTGATAAAGCACACTATGAGTGACGCTATAAATACATATTATATATTAATATTATATATGTTATAATATATGTTCGTATATGTATATATTTTATATTGGCTATATAAATATATGTACATACATAAATATATATAAGAACACTATGACGGCGTGACACTATAAATATATATTATATATTTATTATAGATTTTATGTCATATTTACATATGGTCTTATATGTATATATGTGTGTATATATATAGACACACACATATACACACAAATATATATGAAGAACACTATGAACGGGTGACACTATAAATATGTATTACATATTTATATGATATCATATTTATATATGGTCTTATATGTATATATGCATATATATATATAATATATATATATATATATATATGCATTTATATATCTAAACATTATTTATATGTGTGTCTCTATATTTATATGTGTGTATATATGTAAATATATGTACACACATATATACGCATGTGAACACATATACACATACAGTATATGAACATATATACATACTGTATGTGACTCATGTTTGTTGCAGTCCCATTCACTGTTGGTATTTAATAAAGCCTTCCAAGCTGAACTACCCTTTGCACCTGCACAAGGGTTTTTCCTTCACTTATTCCTGTCAACCGCTGACCTTTTAAAAACTGTATTTCTTCTCTTTGAAGTTCCCCACTGCTCCGTCTTACCTGCTGGTTTTCCAGCCACGTTAACGTCTCTCTCTCTCCTACCTGTTTACCCAGAACTCCTGACAGATTCATCTCCCCTCCCATATATTTACACCCTCCTTTACTCCGCTTCATTACTCGCCATTTGTGTCAGGCCCCAGGAAATATAGCTCTGTGATGGCTAGTAGATTTTAAGTGCTGCATGACAGCTGCAGCAGTGAAGCACTCCAACGTAGCAGTCTATAGAAATGCCTGTGTTGCATATGGGTGTGTGTGTGGGCGTGTACTCTCATACGGGAATACGCACACATCTCGTTCGTGTACTTGTCATGAGTTTTTACAGCTTTAGTGACGGTAACATTTTCTCTTAGAGACATGGTGTTTTCCCAACATGCTGCGGAATTTTTACGCACCTCAGCATATTCCTCGATCGTACATCAACTTTATAGCCGAGGCGCCCTGGTGTTCAGAGGCCATAACATGGTCGCACACGGATACAACATATATGCAAAAGAGAATAAAGACAAAAAAAAGTTTCAAAGTTTGTAACTGAACTTTGTTTCGGGTGCGACAGACTGATGGCTTTTAATATTTGAAGAAAGTTACGTATGGAACTGTGGTGACTGAATTTTGTCCACTCCCTGTGCTAAGAGAAAGCCAGAGGCGAGAGTGCAAAATGAGCCCACCATGGTGTGTCCTGAAAGAACCAGGGAGAATAACGGGGACAGTTTTTTTTTTTTTCCACCTGTTTTTCTATTCCAGCTCTGGCTCAATTTTGGCTGAAAAACAGAACAAAACACAACCTTTTCACTTTAATTCTGCAGCCAGGTCAGGTCTTTTCTATGGTTTTCACAAAGGTCCCTTTCTCATCTGGAAAACAAACAAACAAAATACCCCGCATATTTATTTATTTATTTATTTGGAATTTAGAATACATAATTGTGCGACAACATCAGGTCTTAATTAAAAATAACAAAAAGCCCTCTAGATGTCACACTGTCCACCTCTAAAATACCAAGCCTTGCCAGGCCTTTCCTAATAAAATTGCAAATCATTTATATTTTAACATGTTATCTTTTAGAATACATATGTCATCACGTTAACCTGTGTTGTTTTTATTGTTATTTTTTTTCTTCAGGACAAGGTGAATCCACTCAATGTGACTCCGCCCATCCAAGCCGTTGACCAAGATCGGAACATACAGCCCCCGTCGGACAGACCGGGCATCTTGTATTCCATCCTCATTGGTAGGTTTGTGAGATTTTGGGACATTTGCTGAAAATGAAATATTAATACGACTACCCAGTGAGTGATTGACAGTTTTGTTCACACTTCTAACTCTAGCCTCTGCACCATTCTCCTGGTTGTTGAAGTTTATAACTTCATGGTGAGAACAGTCCATACTGTGAGAAAACCGCAGCATGTTTGAACCACTTTAAATGGATTAGAATTACTATAAATGTCTTTAGTAAGAATTGGAGATACAAATAAATGTAACTAAATTCAAACTGCAAATTAATTAATTATTATTGACATATTTCAATAAGACAGACTGTGAGTGTCAATAATATACGTATTAAAAGGTTCAAAATTTTTGGATCGTGGTCATTTTGATCCGGTTGAAAGATTTTGTCTTGTCTTGTCTAAGCTAAGTCTTCAGTCTGACACTTTTATACAGAAGAGGTCACACACAGCTGAGCTCTGTATGTACACAGAGCTACTATGGTAGAAGGTTTGGAGGTTACTTTATCAACTGTCCTAAGTAGGACACCAAAAGCAAAATTGAAAGCGATGCTTTATTCCGATGAAAAAGCAAGTACAAAATGACCTACGACTCCTTCCAAGCTACGCTACAGAAAACTCCAAGGCTGAAGTAACAACAGAACAGAAGAGAGTGAATGGAGGTGGCAGGTGTAAGTTGCAGAAGAAGTCAATAAGACAAAGGTGAAAAGGGTTAGCTAATCACTGCAGAGGCAGACAAAGGTGAAAAGGGTTAGCTAATCACTGCAGAGGCAACCACAGGAGGGAGGAGCAAATGGCCCAGGAAGTGGAGCACCTGAGGCAGAGGCAGACATACACAGGCATGACTAAGTGATGAAGGAGAGACAACGTAAAGTTTTTAATTGTTGCTGAAGACTCATGTATTATTACTGTCTTCGACGCAAGAGTCTGAGCCAAAAGAGAAATGGGGAATACACCATCCCTCAGTAGAAGCTAATACAATCAGAGCAGGCCATGTGGATGACGCACACCTACAGACACACTCAGTGTGACATGTTAAATCGGCCAGCAGGGAAATCAAGGTATGGAGCTTGAAGCAACAACACAAACACATTGTTGTGGTTTTTTTTGTAGTTGATTTTTGTTTGTGTGTGTTTGTGCACAGACATTTAGAGAATGAGATGAGAAAACCGGGGAACATTAGCCAAGCCTGTCTCTGCCCTTGATTTCGTTGTATTATCTTTCTGTTGTTTGCTTTTTTCCACCAGGCAAACCCCAGCTCTATGCAGACTACTTCAGTCTCAACAGAACCACCGCAGAGCTCCTGCTGCTGAAGCCTGTCGACAGAGAGCTGTTTCGCAGATTTGATTTGGTTATTAAGGTAAGAGACAATGTAGTGAGGTTTTTTTTTTCTTTTCTTATCTTCTTCTCCAGGTTACATTTTATAATTGTTTCATACTGCTGAAACTTTTTAGCAGTAAAGATTGGCTGTACTACGAACAGAAAAACCAATAATGGAATCTACACACCATGCCAACACTTTGCTCTGCCTGAGTGAAGTCAATGTTAAATTTATATTACTGACTGTATAAGGTGTTTGGGAAATAGAGGTTTAATTTATTTAAATTAATTTAACATTTAACATTTGAAATGCATTAAAATAATAAATACACAAATACTTTTTTTTTTTTAAGAATTAGACTGTTTAAATCAGTGTCGCAACCCCCTATGGGGCGGCCTGAAATGTTTAGTATTTGATTTAAAAAAAAAAATTAAATTAACTGATGAAAATATTTTGAACTGTTATTCTTTATAAAAACTATGATTAAATTAATCACACACAACTGTGTACTTTCATGAATATAAATAAAGCAGCAGATCCAAGGCGATGTTGCGCAGATTGTCTTTAAACTAAAACAGAATCTTAAAATGCTACGCCTGTTAGCCAAAGGCGAGGACCACGGCCCTGATGAGAACGTAATTCACACCTTTCCAGCAGGTGGCACAAACTAATATCATATGAAAAGCTCTCTGTACTGTCATTGACTGTCAGTGCATCACTGTCTGTTCCTGCACTTTGGCCTCACCAAACCTTGAGCTGTGAAAGCAGTTGCTGTACCTGATTTTTCTTAAGGGAACAAAAGTTCTAGTTGTAATGTTTTTTTTTTTTCTTTTCTTTTTTTTGTTGTTTGTTTTGTTTTTTCGTCTCAGCTGGATCACTCGCTTTGAAACACACAAAGTATGTGACACATATTCAAACCCCACAGAGCAGCCACTGAACTGAGGGCAGCCTCTAATATTTGAGTGCATCATCGTGACCACAGAAAGAACAGCATGGGTGACTGAAGGGGCCGTAAAATCTAGATAATAAAAAACAAAAACAGACCAAAGAGTGTGATAAAGTTTGTACCCCTGCCTTGCACAGGCCAAAGTTGTAAAGCACAATCTTTAAAGGAAAATACAATCCCAACAAGTATTCCTGATTACAGTATATTAAACACATGACCATGCAGTTTAAGGGGAAATGTTTACTCTTGTTTGTGTAATTAAATAATTTGGATGGAAAGTACTTAAATTGATCAGAAATTACAAATTTGTTTGTTGTTCTTGCTTATTTGTGTGAAGTGGTAAAATTAACTTTTAAAGACCACGATATTTCTAAACTTTCCGTTTCAGAAAACAAAACTTCATTCACCTTATACAGCGTTCCACTGTTTGTTTGTTTTTTTGTTTTTTTTGTTTTGTTTTTTAGCCTGGGACCTAATTAAAAACCACGCATGTTAGCATTAGCTCCTTTAAGGCTAACCTAAATGCGTTATTCCCAAAAGCATCTTAGCTACTTATGGTAACCATTTCTACAAGTGTGATTATCCTGTCTTGGGATAATTTAACCAAGATACTGCACCATTCTAAAACAATGGAATCATCTATTTGGGGTCTTGGTTAATCTGCTAAGACAGAACTCTATAATAAAGAATCAGGACGGCTGTAAAAAACCATCGAAACCAAACTTAAGATGTTTTTTGTTTTTTTTTCCTCCTTTTTTAGGCCGAGCAGAACAATGGCCACCCACTGCCAGCCTTCGCCAACCTCCAAATTGACATTCTGGATGAAAACAACCAAGCGCCCTACTTCCTGGAAACCAGATACCACGGTTATGTTAGTGAAGCCTCACCAGTCGGGACGACCATAGCCACCGACGTCAGCCTCTCCGCGCCGCTGGCCATCGTGGCTCTTGACAATGACGTAGAGGAGGTATTGATAACGTAGTATAACCTGCTGAGGATTTCAAAGCCTGTCGTGACATTTCGTCACTGTAAACTAAATCTAAACATCGTTGATGGGTTTGTCAACTATTTCAAAATAAGTTTAAATTTTGTAACTAAAAATGACACCTCATCTCTTGTGTATAAATTTTTTTTTTTTTTTTTTTTTTTAACATCTACCCACTTTGCAGCTACCAGCCAATAAGACGCCTGTATGTATCCACTGATTTTTTTTTTTTTCTTTTTTTGTGTGTTTATGCATCCTGATTTCTGAATTCTCAAAGCTTTTACTCACTGGCACCCACAGGAATGACAAATATAAAAATCCTACTCGAATAGTACTTGCACCGTACTAGGCAGCTCTGTAATGTGGTACTTAGCTTTTCACAGTGGGCAACGGTGACTGTCCGGCAAGGATCAGTACCAGATTTTTTTTAATATTTTATTGGTTGTACCACCAATACATTGAAGGCAAAGCGTTGCCATTTGAAAGTGCAAACTATGGAAATTTTTTTTTTTTTTTTTTTTTTTAATTTTTTTTTTAAAGTAAAGGTTCTGTCTTTCGCCATGTTCAGTTTCTCTTTGGGCACTTTAAGTGCAATTTAAATGAGTCAGCATTTTATCAGCATGTACTGACGAAAATTATTCACAGTTCATATTCCGTGGATAACGAACCACTTAATAAGCTGCAAATGAATGCCTGGGGTACTTTTGAAGAGGGCTTTCTCCAAGGTGATGAAAACCAAACAGCTGATTATGTGACGCCTGAGGACGTTTTCCTAATTGATTTCTAGATTCTACAAACGTTCCTATGGGGGTTTTATTTAATCCTTCCCTTTAACCTATATTATTATTGCACATCTAATATCATATCTTTCAATATGTGTCGAAGTGCTTTGTCATATATAGGTATATAACACAAAATATGCAGGGTATCTGGGGAAAAAAAAAAAACCCAATACAAATGAGTGTGGGTTTTTCAGTGTTTTTTCGTGTTCCTCCTTGTGTGGCTTCATTAGTTTTGTGTGACCTATTCTGTTGTTTTGGGGGGTAATTTCCCTTTCGCACAGCCTCTCTGTGATAATGCGAACATTTTCGGTGCTGCAACAGTTATTACTGCTGAAGTCCCTAGAGCCTAGTTAGCCTAACATGTAGCAGGTCATTGTGTCATAACCAGTGCTGTACCGTTGCTTTGTAAACAGACCCCCGCAGCAGGGAATGGGCCTGGTAGGAACCCGTGTGTATGTGTGTGTTAGTGCTTCCCAGGCCTGTGTGCGGTGATTGATATGTATTGAGTTATTTAAGCATTGCAATCTCCCGCCCTTCCTCCTGCATTAAGTACCAACAATCATGATTAGTCCTAATTGCCTTTATTTGCCGTCAATCACTTTTATTTATGCGCGCGCGCATAATGCGAGGAGAATGTGAAAGTGCACACACTGTTGGCTTTATTTATGACTCAATATCCACACCAGCTACATCGACAATATTATCAGCCGCTCCCCACCTTGCTGAGCCAGCCCTATCCGGAATGAGAGTTCACTCACACGCACGGCTGACACAGAGGACCTAGATAAGGCTTGCCTCTTAATCACCACATATAGCGCCGCCATATAGAACCTTTTCTCAACCAATGGACTCAGTTTCCCCTCATTGATGTCCTTTTGTAAGTCCTTCTGTTTTGAATGGCAACGTTTTAATCAGGTTCTGGCCGCTCTTCTAATCTACCTTGATGACGCCGACTGTATATTGTTCAAGTTGATTTCATTACTGTATGAAGTATATCGGTGATTAATTATGCATTATGTGTATTTTATACGTAGATAAAAGGTAAGGGGTTGTATTAAAAAATCAGGGTTTCAGGTACTTTTGTTTTAGCTTTGGTGTTTTATGCTAATCTTAAAGGTGTCATATCGCGCGGCACTAGTCATTACAGGAAACTAGCATGAATATGGGGGGGAAAGAAAATCACCGCAGCGTCTTGGGGTAGAGCAGTACATGAATCTCTGTAGTTCATAAAACTCAAGCAGCTGCCATTTGAGGCTCAATCTGAATGCACCCTAAGCTAGCTACATTTAAATTTAGCATTTATCTGTCCTCTGCGGTGCTAACATTAAGTTACTGGAATAAAATCAAGTTTACCTCAGTGTATTAGGGAGACAGACATGTTTTTACAACATATTACTGCAATATAGATATTGAGCGTAAACGTCTATGGTGACTTTCTGACCCTTTTTAAAAAATCTTTTGTTCAACAGACCAAGGATCCACAACTCCAGTTCTCTTTGGACGCCTATTCGACTGTATTCTCTGTTTCTGCGACCGGAATAAGACGATACCTCACCTTGGTGCAGCCGCTGGACAGGGAGACGCAGGACTCCTTCACATTTACGGTACTCGTGTACAGGATTCTAAACAAAATTTGGATGTGTTCAAAGCCCAGCTAAGTCACCTGACAGAACTGTAGTGGTCGATTCTGCAACTTGGAGTATCTGCCGGTACCGATATCAATCCAAAAGCTTTTTTTCAGTTGCTGTTGCGATAGAGTCCCTGATAACGGGATTTTGCGCAAAGTTAAGTTGAGACTTTAGGACTTAGGTATCAGATAAGATGGGCTGTAGTTTTTTTTATTCTGAAATTTGGACTAATATCGGACCAATACCGATCCTAGTATCGGAGTATCGGATTGAGCCTTCCCTAGATTACACCACTTACTGTGCAAGTAGATTTATTTTTCATATAACAGATTTATGTAGCAAAGAGAGATTTGACTACATTCTCCAGTGCTGTGCTCTGGATCACTGTACAACAAAGAGACTGCAGTAAGTTAGTAATTGTACAGCTGTACAGTACAGCAAATAAAATAATCTCTCTTCCCTTACCATTTAGCATTGCAAACAGCTTGTGTTTTTTTTTTTTTTTAATCTGTTATCCTGGCACACTTAGCTGCACTAAGTCCACTTAGCTACAATGGTTTATCACGTTGTTTGGGATACTGTGCCAATGTGAAATCCCTGGTTTTTGGAGTGAGAAGATTATATATAGAGGGATAATTGCAGTGCTGTACAAAAGTCTTTTTGTTAAACAGAAATTTTCAGTCATTTGTTTTGCGTGTTCATACATTCAGCATTGTATGAACAAGTATGTCCATCTCACAGGGTTGTTCCTGTGCCAAAGTTTGAGCTTTGTTCATCACAAGGTCTAAAAACTGTGCAACCATCCTCAGTAATTTGGTTTTCTACCATTTGCTGAAACTATTGAAGGAAAAAAAAAGACTCAAATTACAAAGTAAATTCAGAACTCTTTCATTAGGTTGGACTGAGTTTTATCTTGGTCTTCTGAAGGGCAGCAGTGGGAGTTTGAGTTTTCTTCTGAGCTTTGTAGAATAGAAGGTTAAGAAATGCAGATTGTTTGTTTGTTTTTTTTTTTTTGGGTTTTTTTGTAGCGTTATGCTGTTGTTATTTTTGTCTTGGCCATTATTTCCCCTTAATTTGTTTTCACTGGGATCTTGGTTTGTCATGGGTCTGTGAAACAAATGAACATAGCTGCGGTTGAGATTTCAATTTTCCACAAAGAATCCCGTCTCCCTCTTCTATTTGTCCGAGACCTGCTGTGAGCTTTTGTCGATCAAAGAAACTTACAGCGGGGAAAAAAGACATTTAAGACAAATTCAGAAAACCTTTTTTAACCACCAGGGATGTTGTGACAGAGTAATGTAAAGCTGCTAAACGTTAAGTTTTATTGTAAGAATATGTCCCCTTTTATACACTCAGTAGTTTTTGGTCTGTTTTTAAGCACCAGAAACTAATTTGTATGTTTTATTTGATTTTGGGCTTCCAGTATAAAATACTGCGTTCAACATCTTCATTGCTTGGATTTTGAGTTGTTAATATTTTGGCCTTTGGTCTTGTAGTTGTAAGCTCACAAACTTTCAAAATACACTCTAAAACATAAAAAAAGAACTTCACTGCTTCCAGTGAAACAAAACAAAACAAAAAAAAAAACAGAAAACAAACATGATTAAGATATCAATAAGAGTTCTGAGCTGTTTGTCCACAGTTGGGTTTCTTATTGGTGTCTTTTGTAGGTCAGTTATCACTAAAACACTCGGCAAAAGAAACTGTTTGCTGCTTCTGTCCAAAAACACCATTTCACCGCCTCCTCTCTGCCTCTCCCTTTGTTGAATTACAGCTTTTGGCATCGGACGGTGTCCAGCAGAGTCTTCCTGTTACAGTGACCATCACAGTGTTAGATGCCAACGACAACACTCCGACCTTCTCCAACGTTTCTTATAACGTCAACGTCTTTACGGATATGGCGCCCGCGGAGATAGTACTGCAGGTACACGCTGATGCCGGTTCATCTTGATCCATCAATCACATTTTATACTACATTTAGAGTGTATATTCAGAGATGTGGTTCCTGTGTGTCTCCGTCTCCGCAGCTGTCGGCAGTCGACGCTGACGCAGGTTCAAATGGTGAAGTCACTTACCGAATCATGGCGGGTTCCCAAGGTCATTTTGTGATCGCGAACAGGTAATCATGTGACTGCGAGATTGTAAAAATGAATTCAGAAGTTGTTTTTTTGTAAGTGTTATCCCAGTAGTGAATCTGAATAAAGTGTTACCTGTAGTCCAGTGGATGCAGAGGTCACATTGAGGGAAACATTTTATTTTAATCAATGCAAACCTGGTTTATAAATACAACCTACGCTGCTGGCTTTTGGGATTTATTTGCATTAAATTTAAATAGGTAAAACAAAACGGTCTCAAGTTTCAAAAGTGAAAGGAATTTTAAATGATGCACTACAACATGCCATCACTGCAAATCGTAATAAGACTTTTTTTCTTGATAATAATGAAATAAAGTAAACTTAACTGTCTAAAGTCAAGCCCTGTATATACATATGTGTATGTATGTGTATACACTGTAATGAACAGTGACACAATCTTCATGATTTGGGCTCTGCATGACACCACATTGGATTTGAACTGAATCAGCTACAACAGAATTGAAGTGCAGACTTTAAAGTGTAATCCAAGGGGTTGAACAAAACTACATGATTAAACATGTAGGAATTGTAGCTATTTTTATACAAAAGCTCAAAAAAAAACTTAACCCTTAAACTTAAGGTGAAATGTTACTTTTCAATATTTTGTTAAGAATCATTTACAGGCAATGACTGCCTGAAGTCTGGAACCCATGGACATCACCAAACTGCTGGCTTTCCCCCTTATGTGTGATGCTTTGTCAGGCCTCAGTTGTTGCTTGTTTGTGGGTCATTCCGCTTTAAGTTTTGTCTTGAGCCAGTGAAATACATGCTCGATTGGGTTGGGATCTGGTGATTGCCTCGGCCGTTGCAGAATATTCCACTTCTTTGCTTTAAAAAAAAAACTCCCGAATTGCTTTTGCAGTATGTTTTGGATCATTGTCCATCTGTACTGTGAAGCGCCGTCCAATCAACTTTGCTGCATTTGGCTGAATCTTGTCACATCATCAATAAACACCAAAGTGACCCAGTGCCATTGGAAGCCGTCCTTGCCCATGCCATCACACTGCCTCCACCATGTTTTACAGAAGATGTGGTGTGCCTTGGATCATGAGCTGTTCTAATTGTTCTCCAAACTTTCTTCTTCCCATCATTCTGGTACACCTGTCGATGAGACTAAGATCAACCTGTACCATGTTTAATCATGTATTTTTGTTTATGTTTATCCCCTTGATTTAAACCTTAAAGTCTGCACTTCAATTCCGTTGTAGTTGTTTCATTTCAAATCCAATGTGGTGGGATGCAGAACCCAAATCATGAAGATTGTGTCACTGTCCAAATATTTCTGGGCCTAACTGTATGTATGTGTATATATATATATGCATATATATATATGTATATTTGTATATATGTGCTGTGTGTATATGTGTGTATATATATATATGCATATATATGCATATATGTGTCTGTGTGTATATGTGTGTATGTATATGTGTATATATGTGTCTGTGTGTATATGTGTGTATGTATATGTGTATATATGTGTGTATATATGTATATGTGTGTATATATATATAAATATATATATGTGTGTATATTTGTATATGTAAAGTGAATTAATATGGTATCATTTTGGTGTTTTAGTACAGGAGTGATTACTGTGGCACCAGGTGTTGAGCTCACCGTCGGTCGTAGCTACACCTTGACTGTAGAAGCCATGGACAACGGCCCTCCGAATCACAGACGGTAAGACTCGCTGCTAAATCACCTCTGTCCACTGAGGTACGAATTGTCATCAGCTTTTCGCACTCACTTTCAGACCTTCCATAGTTCACCTCACAGCCCCCTCCCTGCTCTTTGCTCCCTGCTGCTTTCTGGCGTAATTCTCCATTTCCAGGCGTGGTGTTTTTCATTTTTAGATATATATCATCATGAATCTGAGTTATACATGTGAAAGTAGGCACAGAGAGCGAGAAGCAATGGATAGGATTTAAGTTCAAGGAGGAAATGCAGCACGAAAAGGAAATGTAAGTGTGCCACACTAGTAATTTAAGACCTTTTTGAAGATGCAAGACGAGAATGAATGCCACAAAGGACAAGAGCACTTTGCCCGTGTCACATACTTTAACTGCTTTGAGAGGATAAATTTTCATCTGCTTAATTTTCCCGGCCTCTTACCCTTCCTTTCTTCTTTATGGACTAGATCAATAGGCAGCCATAACTTTCAACAGCTCTCAACTTGGATTCTTTCATGGGGATAAAACTCATCTTTCTAATATCTTGTAAAATCTTGTGTGTATTGATTTTGTATAGCCAAAGTCTGGCTATTGTATTGAGAGATTTCAGTTTCGTGCGGTGCCTGAGAACAGAAACGAATCCATCTATCGAGCGTTTCATTTTTTTGGAACGTGGTCAAACTACACAGCTCTACAGTTTAAAGTAACAGCTGCACCGGCAGAGTCATTTGATTTGTATCCAGATTTTATTTTATTTTTTCTCCTTCCCGTAAGTTGAGTTATCTCAATGTAGATCCCATAGCAAGGACTCAAGGGAAATGTGTTACCTGCTGGTGCATTTTACATAAATGAAAACATGCATTATAATAATATAATATATTTTCATATTTCTTAGCAGTTCACAATGTTGGATTGATCCAAGTAAACATGACTTGAGACTTGAGGAACAGCCTGCTGGTACTTGATACTCCAAACTCTGAGGATCTTTTTTTTTTTTTTTTTAATCGTTCTGTCCTTGCAGACAGACCATATTTTCTGTTCATACAACAATCTTGAGCCTGTCTACTCTAAGGACTTCTCATTTTTAGGTTGCTTTGTAGCTCAGTTGGTTATGTAAAAAAAAGCTCTGGTGGTGAAATCAAAGTTTTTAGGTATCGTGTCTTTGTTAGTCTACTCTGATCCAACGTATTTCCTCCAAGGGAAAATAAATGTGAGAGGGTTTAGAAGTAAAGTTGTTTTTATATGTTCAATAGATATTGGATGTTTTTTTGAAAGTATTGATATTAAAAAAAAAACAAAAAAAACTTCTCTCTTTTCCTGAGACTTAGTCCTTAAGCATTAAGCCTTAAGCAACATTTAAAGTCTTCACAGCGTTCTGCGCTGTTATTTTAAGCTTTTGATGATGTATAATGAGAACAAGGGTCACTAACTAATTTTAGTTGGATTTGATACTCAGGATTGTTATTGGTCCAATATTAGTAAAAAAAAAATTCAGAATCAACAACATAAACCACAACATCATCTGATCTGATACCTAAGCCGCCATAATGCTCAACTTAACTTTGCGAGACACGCCATAAACAAGGACACTGTCGGCGTAAAACAGCTAACAGTTCATTAACGTGTAAACATGGTAATCAAGATGGTCACAAAATAATGTAGTCATTTTATTTTTTTTCCTTGCTTTTAGATGATTGATTTACCATACACTTGGTTCAGAGGCTTTATTGAAAGTATTAAAAGCAACCAGTGTGTAATCACTCCGTTGTTTTGAAAAGCAGGTTGTGAATATTGACTCCATTAAAAGTTTCCCAGGTTGTTACTGGGTTTTGTGAGCAATAAATCTTTCAAAGTCTTCAAATAGGCCAGCCTGCATAATAAGGTTTTCTGAATAACAAAAGCATAGATGGATGAATGATGGCATAGCAAGGTGGGGGCACTCTCTTCATGTTTCTATTCAAAAGTGAATGGAAATGAAATGTTTTCTCTCAGTGAAACTGATGCAGCCTCTGCAGTAATGGATCACTGCAGTGCTGTATGCAGAGGTTGTTTTTTTTTTTGTTTTTTTTTTAAGACACATAAGGTCCAGAAAACAATCTTTATATCTGGTTGTTTTTTTTAATATACATCCCTGTACTTGAACCTCTTGTTGAATGCTTGAACATAGCATTAAATAGAAGGAAGGACACAAACACAGACACAAGTACACTTACCTTCAATGATAGACCAACCACTCACTCTGACACCACTGTCCTGCTGAGATCCTCTCACTTTCTTGTGTTTTTTTTCTTTTTTTTTTCTCTAACCTCTCATCCTGCCCTCATTCGTTCCTCCATCTCCTCCTCATATTTGCATCTCCTTCACCGGTCCTTACACAACCTGCCAATTTCACGAGAGCGTGTGTCTCATATTACTTCTCAGATTGTGAATTTTACCTACGCACTCTTTGTTTCGTCTCCCAGGTCATCAATTACCACAGTCTACATCGAAGTTTTGCCCCCGAACAACCAGAGCCCTCCCCGTTTCCCGCAGCAACAGTACAGCCTGGAGATCAGTGAAGCCATGAGGACTGGAGCTACGCTGCTCAACCTACAGGTAGCGTCATGCAACATTTTTAGTAATGCTATCTAATTTAACTATCTTTTTCTACCGCACTCCCTTCCTGACAAGGTTAGCAAATACTGCCCGGAGAAAATCAAAGTCAAAATAGCAAGATTTGCCTTTTGAAAATGTCTGTATACGAATGACCTCACCGCTCTATTCTCTACAGAGTCTTTTTTGAACTGGCAGCCAAAGTGTGTGTGTGTCTTTGGTTCAGCGTAATAGTCCACAAACAAAATCAATCCTTTTAAATCACAAGCAAACAGTAGTTGTTGATCCATTGCCTACTCCATCAGTGGGTTCAAATGTTTGTGTTTTGCAGCTCCATCGTCAACAACCTTGATTTGGTGCCATTTGAATCGAGAGAAACAAATCAGATTAATTATTAAACCAGCTGCTCTTTTATCTGTCCAACTCAAAAACTTTTAATAGATGTTGAGATGATGATGATGTTGAAATGATAATGATGTTCCAGTAATGAAGAACTATACTTAAGGTGGTATTCTAGCTACCTACCTGCTAGCACCTTTTAGCGGTTGCATATGGCCATCTACACAGCTGATGACATGGTCATAACAAAGTTACTGCTGTCACACGAGGTGCGTTCAGGTGCCATTGGAAACTTGAGAATCCACTATTTTGGGATATGTGGTTATAAAAATAAAAAAATACAAAATAATAATTGCTATATTGCTAAGCTTGGGATGCGTGGTTATAAAAATAAAAAATAATAATTGCTATATTGCTAAGCTTATAGCATGGCTTTTTATGTTATTTAGATGCATGTAGGATATTGCAGTAACCGGCAGAATACTATTGAATTTTACTGCATATGTCTCTTTACCTTCTAAGGCAGTGGATCGGGAAAAGGACCCTGTCACTTACCAAATACGTAGTGGAGACCCGAATGGACATTTTGTACTGCAAGAAAGGTAAGTACACAAATCCATCAACACGTTAAAAAAAAAGAATGTGGTTTTATCATATATATATATTAATTTTATGTGATTAAAAGTTTATTTTTAAATATGACTTACGGTAATCCCAAACAGTAGAAAACATTTAAATGGGTTGAGGTTGAATATTGTGACCAATTAAATACATGTTGCACATCAAGCAAGATGTAGTAAAACATGGCAGTAAATAAAAATCGAACCAGCTTATTACATCACAATATTTTTATAGGTTGTTTTAAACCTAAAAAAAAAAGTTTTGCTCCACAATAAATTCTGACCTTTGATTGACCTTTGATAAAACAAACAAAGTAGCCCTACTGTAGGTCTCTAACCAAATTTAAGCAGCACGTAATGTGGTTTGGGTTACTCATATAAAGTCGTGATCCACATAAAACTCTCCTGACATTTTCTTTTTTTTTTTTAATCAAATCTTCTCGAGAAGACCGCATCCAATGGGAAGCACTCAAATATGATATATATGGCGTAATACTAGTTGAAATGTTGCGGTTCGGGGTCACTTCGTATGATAGCAGCCAAAGTCAAGAAAAAATAATAATAAAAATAAAAATGTATCTAAAATTACTGTCTACAGTTTTAGTTGTTTTTCTGCCTCTCTAAACTGTTACTGATGCACCAAGACCATAGTGCCATGGTTTTTGAAAGGAACCTTAAATTAAGAAAACATGTAAATATTCAACCTAAACAGTATAAACCAGGGTCGCAGTGGTACACAGTGGAAAAAAAATGTACTTCAGTTTTACGGAAAGAATCAACAGGTCATTCAGACTCTGATACTAACAGAAGAAAGTCTAAAAGGTGTTTTATTTTGGAAATGTAATGATGCTTCATCGATGGTGCAGTATCACTGGTCCGCAGTAACGTCTCATACCGGCCGACCAGTCCTTGGTACAATAAAGGTGAGGGACCTCTGGTATAGAGTATAGAGACTAAATACTGGCTACAGCAGTGTATATATAAGTCACTCACTGCTGTGTTCTTCCACTTTATATAACTTTTTTTCCGAGACCACCTATTGAACCGCGCTGTCACCGCTGTATGTAGTGTTATTAAAGGAGCTGAATACCGATTTCCGTCATTCATCTGTTTAAAGCTATTTTGCATGAGACTATTTTGTGACGGGAGTTTTACATAAGCAGAACGGCCTTGTCATTATTATAATAGCAACCAGAAGCATGTGACCATATATCACTGAGTGACTTCAAGGGTAATAGAGACACATACAGTGATATGGAGGAATGTTGGGTATGAGAAGGCAGCAGATCTAATAAAATACTCATAATAAAGAAGAGACTCGGGTAAGAAAGCTTAGTAGGCCATTTCATCTATTTTATCTGTAGCTTGAGCTTCTGTATGTGGGATTTTAATGAAATTGGACTTCAGCTTCACCACGATTCTGACAGTTTTAAATAGTAAGAGTTAAATAAGTCTGTTTGTTTTAGATGAAACCATATCACATACATACCATACCACAGAGTCGTTACTGTGGTTATCTCATCCAGCAACCTTGGCAGGATGTAATGTGTAAAAAAAAAAAAAAAAAAAAAAAAAAAACATTAAGTGAAAAGACAGGTACAGTTTTAATAAGAAATCATTATAAAATGAACTGAGGTTTTCACGCAGCTTCAACAACCAGCGTTGTTGGATTCGCAATAATGGATATGGAATAAAAACTCAGGTGAAAATTGGGACATTATGTTACCAATTAAAGCTGAAAACATGGCTACGGTAATGGCTTTTAATGGATTGTTAGTCTTTCGTGTGTTTAAAAAAAAAAAAGGCATTAGTTCTGGTTTTTTGTCTTTGTTCTGGTCTCTTTTTAGACAAGTATTTAATTCCCTTTTGTTTCTCTCCCCAGTTTAGGATTTCTGGTTTTGGAGAAGCCTCTGGACCGGGAGTCCCTGGACTTCTATTCACTGGTGGTCACAGCCTCAGATGGACGTCCAGATGGGGTAAGAACACTGTTTGTCCTTACTTACGTCCATCCACACTCCTGCTAAGAAATCTATATTTACGGACGAGCTGTTTTATAAGAAAGTAAATCTTTCACAGTTAAATGTCAAAAGATAACAGCTGTAATTTTATTTAAAAAAAAAAATGATTTAAAGTTCCAGCTGAATAAACATGCTTGAATTATTAAGGGGATGTTAAAAATAATGAGAGCTGGAGACTCATGTCATTACTTAGTGTGAACACAGAAAGAGCTGGCAGATGAGGAAATTATGAAAAAGAACATAAACTAAAATGAGGAAAAATGTCCCCACCCCAACGGGCTGTTCCTTATTAAATCTAAAGCGCACTTAAGAAATAATCTTTTTGACTTTTTTCCCCAAACATGTGCACACATCATTTAGTATTCCAGAACGCTGATTTTCTCCATCACAAATCTCATATATCTGCAAACAGGATTTTTCTTTGATCCATTTCTATTTTCATTTTAAGAACAACCACAACAATTGATACTGTTTTCATGTCTGGCTAATGTCAATGTCCTTCAGATGTTTTTTTAGTATGAAATATGTCCACTAATGATGCAAACACCAGGACACAGTGTGTGCAGCATCTTGATTGACAGCTCTGATCATGTGACCGTGCGAGCAACGGCTACTAAAATGTCAAAAAAGGTTGCGAACCACTGATCTAGCATAGTAACCTTAGAAAATGTTTTAAAATGTCTTTGACAGTAAATTGCACATGAAACGTAAAGATAATGGAAATTTAAATGTTTATCTGCAGACATCTGCAAAAGAATATAAAAAACCAAATTACTGCAATCTTTCCTGTTCTGAGGCAGAAAAGAAAAAAATATCCAATCCCGTATTTGAATTGAGTTTTTATTTTCAATGTTAATGAGAATAAATCTCACCACTTCACAACATACCGGCCGTTCCTATATAACGAGCTAAATGTGGATGTAACGAGTGTGTACCGAATAAAAAGTAATGGGAGTGTGTGGCAGTGCCGATATATTTCTTCACCGCACAGGGTGGCCATCTGCCTCGTCAACTTCCCAACTGATTAGAGATCATTCTCTTACTCTTTCTCTCATGTGAAAGTCGAACCATGGCGTTGGCCTGTGTGTCTCCTTGAACTCCTTGAAATTACATCCTTTCACCATTCATCAAGTTCTATTCTCTAACACTGTCCCTTCTACTGTATGCCACCCCAGCATCCATCCAAAGAAGCTACAATGCATGCGACTGATCTACATATATATTTATATATGTATATATGTGTATATATGTATATATGTGTGTATATGTGTATATATGTGTATATATATGTATACATATATGTATATATGATATGTATATATGTTAAAATATATTTTATATATGTATATATTTATGTATATATGTATATATGTGTGTATATGTGTATATATGTGTATATATGTATACATATATACACATATATACATATATAAAATATATTTTAACATATATACATATCCATATATTATATATGTATACATATATAATATATGGATATGTATATATGTTAAAATATATTTTATATATGTATATATATATATATACGTATATATGTGTTGTAATTGTTTTTATTTGTACCATTCTTGGTACTTGAGATGCTTTTGTTGTTGGGACATTTCAGCAGATTTGCAGTAGATGTGTGCACAAAATGAAGGTGGGAAGCACCAGAGGAAAATACCAACGCGGAGGAACAGAAGATAAGAATGAAAATGCAATAGGAAGAAAAGGATTGTGGGGGTACTTTCCTCATACGGGGCTATTAATCAGCGTCATCTTAAAGGCCTTGGGTTGTCTGCAGAAACTCGCACGCACATACGCACGCTTTGTGTCCCCTATTATTGAATGTCGTGTCTTGAGAGTGTCAGACTTACAAAGTGCCTAATTGGCTATTTGGCCAGTGAATCCATCATGGTGCCACGCATCGCAGACCCTACGAGCTGTTGCCGTAAACCATTGCCAGTGCCTGGACACGTTGTGCATCACAGGAACTGCAACTGAAACGTAGGTGATCGGTTTGTAAAGCTTTGCTTTGCTCGGGTCTTTTGTAATCGATTGAGGTTTTTTTTTCTTGTTTAGGTGTTGGGCTCTTGGGTCTTTCTGCTCTTTGTCTTTGGCTGTTCTTAAGTCTTCTAGCCAGAAGTGAACAACAATTTAGAATTGTTCAATACACACGGCTGTTTTGCCAATGAACAAGGCCTGCCACAGTGCCACCTTAGAAACTCATTGTTGTAGGAGAGGTTTAAACTAGTGATGGGATCATGGATTCACTGCTATCGTACCTGTATTGGGTATTAATTTCTCTCAAACTATTGACACTAATTAATAAATTAATAAAAAGCACATGATTCACTTTCACATCCTTTAGGGCAGTACTTCTCAAATAGTGGGGCGGCGTGAGGGGCTTCCAATGGAATATGGCACGCTGGACATAAGTGTAGCACTGCTGCAATGCTTGAATTATAACAAGCATCCAGTCACTAGGTGGCAGCAACTCATACAAGTGGTTTGTATAGGTAAACATATACATCTGGTATATCTCTCAATAGTATTTCAATTTGTGGGGTGGGGGGCATGACAGAAAATAATTAAGAACCACTGCTTTTGGATAACACCATACAGACTTTTGTGCTGCTACACCCAGGTAATGTAAAACTGAACTGATCTGTCACATGACCACTGACCAGAAGAGGGCAGTGACTCCATGTAGCATGTGGTAATATGAATAAAAAAAAGTGGAACATAAATGTCCTTGCCCGAGCGTAAAAGGAGCCAGGTGGGTTTCTTCTGTTTATTTTTAAGTAGTATAATTTATCATAACTAATATGTTATGCGGAAGTATCAGTATTGAAAAGAAATGCCAAAAAATGCCAACTATTTTATCTTTAAAAATGACATTTTGGTCTCTGACATTGTTAGTTTGAAAAAACCAAGAGAAAACATTTCCTGGTTAACAATTATGCAGTGAGAAATGTCTTTATTATTTCCAACTGTTTTTTCCAAGAGGTATAGATTTCCTGCTCACATCACACCAGTACTATTCATATTTCTGGTCAAAATAATGTTTGTCTTTGGACTTATTAGGAATCCCTCTTTTTTTATTACCAATAAAGTATTTGTGTTTGGCTCAATATTTATTTATATTTAAGTGTTCGGCACAAACAAACAGCACGTTGTCCCTCTGTCTGTTTAGACACGCATAACAATAATAAGTGCATCTGCACTGCCACTTGGCAGCTACGAGAAAAATATATTTCCCTTAAGCTGTGCACATGCTCCAGCAACAACGAGAGATTTCTGTTAGGTTAGTATTAAAACGAATTCTTTCTTTAAAATCACTGCAGTCCTTCCACTTCCTGCTTTGCAGACACATTCAGGGGAAGCAGACTCAGCACGACTTATCTCCAGAGGTCCTTGAATTTAGTGAGGAGTCCGTCGTAGAGGCTTCACTGCAATCGAACGCGTTCTCTAATTAAAATGGGTTAAAAGTTAAACTCAACCCAACAGAACTGATAACCCAAAAAACACGCTGGACTTTTTTTCCGAAATTAAATTTTTATTTCATTGCTACACAAGCGGATAAACTGTTGTCGTCTTTTATGTGATGCAGCTTTTATTTCTTGTTCTCACTTTCCTCCAGTAATACAGGTACATTTATATTGTATTATATGAAACGTGTCAAGCATATTTCTTCCGGAAATGGTGTGGTGTGGGGAAGGACTTAAGTGAAGTTACAAATGACGCGACGCCGCCATCTTCCAAAGCCTGTTTTCCTTTCAGTTCAGATCCAAGTCAGTTATCCATGCTCAGTATTATCCATATTTAACAGCCTGTCTTCATCAGTCCTGTTTTCCTCCAAGCATACATGAATATCAAGGGTGACCTTTTACCACTTCTCCGAATGCCTTTGCTTGAACTTCAAACAATTCGGGCCTTTACAGTAAAGTTGCATTCTTTTCAGGATATTACCATTTTCCCAAACTTGTCTAATCTCCTGTTCTCTTTCGCCACTGACAGTTTTCAGGATATTACCATTTTTCCCAAACTTGTCTAATCTCCTGTTGAACCCAGTTTAACATTGAAAATATAACACATGACTTCTATAAACTGATGTGAGATCAGTAGCAGTAGAAGCTACAGCTGGATTTTTTTTTTTTCTAATATTCCCAGTAGTGTTGACTTTACAATCCAGGCCAGGTTAATTGTTTTGTTGCGTTGGAACTGGTGTGAACCATGAGCAGCCCGGGCTTAGTTAACCTTTCAGCCACCCTAACAGCCAGTTTTTAATTGTGCATATCTTAACTAATAACCTTTTAAGCACAGCTTGGGGGAAAAAAAGAAAGGTTTCTGAACAACAGACACTAAGAGAGCGAACAGCAGTTCTGCAAATTACCATGCAAAGTGGGCTTTTTGGTGTATTTACATATGTCCAATAACAAGCATGATGGGAAACGAGGCCATCTAAAAGTATTGATGGCTTAATAATCCCTGTTTATGTGTAGTAACCAAACATTTTCATGTAATTAAGCAACAAATGTGGAAATAAAACTAAAATTGTGTTGTTGTTTTTTTCTGTCTGATGGTCACGGTATAACACTCTCTTCTGTCTCTCTTCTTCTGTATGTGTCTGGCTGTGTGTGTGTTTGGGAACCCGCAGACCTCCAGTGCGTTGGTTAACATCGTGGTGACAGATGTTAATGACAATGACCCACAGTTCGATACTTCGCTGCCAGTGAACCTCAGCGTCACAGAGGAGCAGGATAACGCTTACGTCGGACGAGTCAAGGTAGGAGCGCGCACAAACACAGGCCCACGGTGTGTGCTAGAAATCAGTGCTGAGCTACAGTGACTGCGGCGATCACAGGTCCAGCCTAAAAAGAAAGCCAAAAGTCATCTCTGCTCAGCACTACAGTTGTACATTCCATTATTATTACTGGGTATAAAAAGGAAGGTCGGATTCCTAATAAAGGCCTATGTATATATAGATATATATATATGTGTACATATATGTATATATATATATGTATATGTATATATATGTATATGTGTATATATATGTATGTGTGTATGTGTATATACTGTATGTGTCTATGTATATATGTATATATATGTGTATATGTATATATATGTATATATATATATAATATATATATGTATATGTATGTATGTGTTTATATATGTACATACATATATGTATATTATATTATGAGGTGTCTTTAAATGTATAAGGTCCATTAGGATTTGTCAGTGATAGAAAAACACATACATTTACCTCCCGTTCTGTCTTTCTGTTCCAGCAGTATATGTTTTTTTGTGATATTTAGAAATGTTTATTCATCTAGATCAGGGTTGTCAAACTCATTTCCCTTCACAGGCCCCATACAACCTCATTAAGAGAGTGGGCCGGACCAGTACAACCATAATCTAATTGACTATATTAATTAACTCCAATACAATTTGTCCCCTTTGTTTTCATGCAAATAAGTACAAGTATATCAGATATGTAGGATTATTTATATTTAATAAATCATAATTTTAGAAAAATAAAATCTTGAACACGAAGTGTTTGTATTTTTTTTTTTTTTTCCAAAATTCATCAAACTGGACGGATTAAACACCCTAGCGGGCCGATTTTGGACAGTGGTCCGTATGTTTGACACCCCTGATTTAGATTTACCATGAGTAACTACAATCGCGTGATTATTTGTGAATCCGATTATTCCACAGCTGCTTGGTGTTTGTTCAAGTTAAAAATCAGCAGTTTGACAGCTGCGGTATAAACAAAGAACAAAATGTTTCTGGAACTCAAAAAAAAACCCAAACATATTTACCATATTCATTACATTAGAGTTAGGTTCTGTAAAAAGTACATTGTATCCAGTAGCAACTGTTCATTGCTCTCTATGTAAAGGTAAGCCACTCCTTTCCTCCCAGTTGATACAGCATGCAGTTGCTTGCCATATTTTCTTTCAAACACAGTACAGAGTCTCCTACTTTTTTTCTAATCCCTTTAGCTCCCTTTGCAGTATATATATGAAAACCCTTTTCCTGTCAACGTGTAAATGTCTCAACAGTCTAGTTCCACCCTCCTCTCTGATGCCGTCAGCCTGTGTTCCCTCTTGGTGTGTCTAAGGTCTGCTGATCAGCAGCTCTTGCCTTTGCTAGAAACATGGCTGAATCTCAGAGGCCTTTTATTCTGACGACTCCGGAACATTCTCCCTGCCCAATGTTTTTTTTTTTAACCCATTTAAACACACTTATTTTATTTGGCTTTTGAAACTGTATTTGACACACTTAAACCCAGATATGAAAATTTTGTCTCAACCATTTGCTTTAATGAAGGATAAAAAAATATATATATTTAGGTTGCTGGTTCAGTACTTCAACATTTAAAGTCTGGCAACACTGCATACTCCATCAATTTGAGGAGCTCCTCTCCATGCATCCAAATTGAAACAATCTGAGGCCTTTGAAATTTATCCAAATTCAATATCCAAAATAATTATAATTTCTAAAGGGCGCAGTTGATAGTATTCCAAATCTAACCTCTGGACATAATCCAAACCAAAATGAGCAGCTCAGTCCCTGAGTGGTCAGTAAAAGACGGATATCAGGGCTTTCTTTCTTCAACCAAGGTCTTTTACCTGTAGGAATTAAACAGATTCACAGCAGAGTGAGTGAATCTGACCTTGGTTTTTCTGAAGCTAGTGCGGTAGAGAGGGAAATAGGAGAGAGAGGTGAGAATGTCAGACATGCTATTAAGGCAGAGGAAAGCACAGAGAGACTACAAAAACTATAGCAGATCTGTCAGGTTGCAGCTGCATTCTGAAACTGAATCCCGAGATCAGGGCACATTTTATTAAAAAGAAACGAATGGAGGATGAGATTTTGAGATCGTGGCATTCAGCAAAGAGAAGAGATTTCAGGCTTAGCGTTGTGTTTTAATTGTTTGGCCAGTTGCAATACAATTGTAGAGAGCAGTGTTTCTCCAAGTGTGAGGCGCACCTGTCCTGTGGGGTGCCAAATCACTTGATGGGACACAATGTGAGGGAAAAAAGTACAAGTTCTCAATTTGGCAAACTTGATGTGAAGGAATAGGTATTATCTATCTATTGCTAGATAGGATAGATGGATGGATAGATAGTGATTGATGTGAAGGAATAGGTACTATCTATCTAGATAGGATAGATGGATGGATGGATGGATGGATAGATGGATGGATGAATAGATGGATGGATGGATGGATGGATAGATAGATAGATAGATAGATGGATGATGGATGGATGGATGGATGGATGGATAGATAGATAGATAGATAGATGGATGATGGATGGATGGATGGATGGATGGATAGATGGATGGTTGGATAGGAATGACGAAACAAGACTAAACAAGACTGTTGATATAATTATGGGAGATACCAATGTATCCATGAAACTCTGTAGGTTGAGAACACCTAAGATCTCCTGTATTTTTACATGCGGTATATAATACCTGGTTATAGAAATCTTTCTGACTCATCATAATGTGACGTTAAATGTAAAAAGTTAAAAGTAACATCTTTGAACAGATGGCGATGGCATACAAATTGCCCTATCGCTCTGTACATTCTTCTGAACTTATTAATGAACCTTTTTTATATATTTCATTTCTTTTAAGATAATTCTGTTCACGTATATATTTAAAAAGCACACTACAACATTATTTCAATTCATGTTTTTAAAAGAACCCTTTACCGTTTAGTTTTTTGGGCGACTTTTATACTGGTTATTATTTCCGACTTTGGTCGAAAAGGTCATTAATTTCCACAGATTGCTAATGAAAAAGTAACATGAACAGCCATAACTGTCCTAGTGATTAAATGGACCCGACTGTTTTCTGAGCCTTTGCCAGTAATTTCCTAGAGTTTATTGCCGGATCGCTAAAAGCAAGCAAACAAATGCAGCCTACTTGCCAACGACTGCTTCATTGTATTTGAATTGGGGTTTTAACGTAATCAATCTGCGCCTTAACGATTATGTAAAAGGTGCCTCAAGTTTTTAAAGCGGCCAACACTGCAGCCATACATCACATTAGACAGCGATTTTACCAGAAATCAAATCCACCTTCATTCATAAAACACAGTAGTAGCAACGCAGTTGGTCAGAGTGATGCACGGCAACTTAAAAAAGAAATCTATAAAAGGCATAAAACTTAGGTAAACAGAACATTTCGCATTAAAAATACATGCACCTGTAAAAAAAAAAAATCCCAAATAAGGTAAACCACATAATGGATTTAAAAATGAATTGCCCTCCTGTTTGGTTTTCCACACCCTCTCTTTCACCAACACCAGAAAATAAGAAAATAATTAATACCCTTAAGCCTGATGCTCCACTTAAACTTGTAACACTCAGATAGTGATGATTTATTAAAGACAAATCACATCAGAGGAGACTTTATATCTTACTCCGACAACCCGTGAAGCACTGGGAAAAACGAGTGTCCAATTTTTATTAATCCTAATTCTCACAGTGTGAGATGAGACTCAGTGGTAATGAAGCGAAGTGGGGGAAATAAAAAATGGCACATGGGAAAGTAGACAGAGTCTAAGTAAAACAAATAACAGGTCTAACTGTCATTGTTATGACACTGTTATTCCTATTGAGCATTAAGAGCTTGTTGACAGTGGTGTCAGCTGTTGGCAGCCATTTTGACTACCATTCGTCCTACCACTGGTTGTCGTCATGAAGTCTGCTCACTTCTGTAGTGCTGTTTGTGAACAGTTTTGGTCTTTTTGACCATTTTCAAACAGCCAAACCTTAGGAGATAAAAAAGCAAATGTCTCAAAGATAGAGTAAATAACATTATTCTCTGAGTTTTTGTCAGCTGAATCATCAAGACACATGAAAATTTATTTGAACAAACTGTGTTCCCACGTCATATTTATGTTCTACAAAATATATTATTTGCTGTGAATTTTTAAAAACCAATATTTGAATATTGTCATAATATTGTCAATCATTTATTGATGACAATTCAAAGTGAGGGTTGTGGCCGATAGTAACAGTATTGACTACTTTTCCATAATTTTGAAAAAAAAACAATATTTGAATATTGTCATAACATTGTCAATCATTCATTGATGACAATTCAAAGTGAGGGGTGTGGCCGACAGTAACAGTATTGACTACTTTTCCATAATTTAATAAGCATAACTCTTCTTGATATTTTTCCACATTTCCCATACTAATTTTATCTTTTGGATTAGTAAGAAATAAATATATTTCAATCATAATTAATCTTCATCATTCCACAGCTTCCCTTTGAAAAATAGTTTAAAAAATTAAGTGGCAGCTCTAGTTTTTGATTGTTTTTTTAATGACTATTTTTTCCTTTCCTACTGCTACGGCTTTGTTCACTGATAATAAGCAACAGCCTAAATTTGTTAAATTATATTTCTCATTCAAAAAAAAAAAAAAATTCAATAAAATCTATCAATCAATCACGTCACAGAAATGGTTATATCGTTAAGTGTAGCAGTAGTGGGGTTTTTTTTGTTTGGTTGTTTGTTTGTTTTTTTCCTGCAGCAGATAATTAAGTCATCCGACTGGAGAGAATTCACTTCTTTGCCTGCAGAGGTGCCTTTATGTTCCAGTGGAAAAAAACTCCTCCAGAGCAACAGCTAAGGGTTCTGAGAAAGCACACTGGAAAAAGACTGCTGTTCCTCTGTGGTTTCATTGAGTCTTGAAAGGTCCCAGAATCTATTTTGAGACTTTTTCTCTTTTATTTAGAAACAGGGACAGATGAGTCCGGAAATATAAAGTTTTTCACTTCAAAGTACAAATATTTTTCTACTGTTTTTTAAATTGTTTTAGGCTTCATGTTGACTCATTTTAAGGCTCGGTGCGAATCACATTATTAGTAAAGTCATCTACAAAGACTTGTTAATCAAACTTTTTTCTCCTGTAGCCCTTTTGCTCTCGGCTGTAATGCAGTTGGAATCATCTCATGTGTAAAGTTAAAGGTACAGCCAAGCAGTGTTTGTTGTTCTGATGTAATTTAGCAAAGGATTTTTTTTCTCATAGAAGCGGTCATCATGTATATAATCGGCTTCAAAATAATCCTTCTTTGGACTTCTTATGCTAATCCCTGTTTAATTCCACCTCGGCTGATATCATCTCTCTCTCTGATTACTTACCTTAAAGTTTTAAGGGATGGCTTGATCCAACTTTTTCACGTCTAATGCCGATTCTGATATATATCCAATAACTTCACTCCCTCTTTACGGCATGTCGCGCAAAGCTAGGTCGAGCATTTTGGCTTAAGATGCCGATCCTGCGTATCAGGACGTGCCACCTCTAATATCTATTTTTTTTGTGTACGCCCAGTGTGCCCTCTTTAACTCTGACTGGCACGTTTAATTACATAGCTATAGAAATGTCACTGACGACATGATTTCAGCAGTGATCAATAACAGCAAACACAACAACTGTCACGAAGTGCATTGTCTGAGTCCTTTCTGAAGTTTTTCTGTTTGAAATCCTAAAGATTTTACGTTACTTTTCTGTCAGAAGGCGTTTCGACATTTAGCCGCAGTGTTTGGGGAGTGTGTTGGAGAAACGCTGCGTTTCCAGTCCCCTGGCTAAAAGGTCAAATTAAACAACACCCTGTTGATTTAAACATCACCACAACACTCTGCATCAAATTGTATAGAAACAAATCAAAAGCATATGTGTGTGTGTAGCCAAGCACTGACCGGTGTGTGCCTGCCACGGTGGCTGAACGTAAATGTTTCTGTCGACATTAGAAAGGTGAGCGTCTTAAAGTTATTGTTAGGGTGCTTTTTTTGTACGAGTTCATAAAACAAACTCAGTGCCCTCCAGCACACTCCTCAATTACTGATCCACTGCTGCCTCTGTTCAGGTGCGGTCTTGCCCAGTGCTTTTGTTTTTTATCCACAATTTTAAATATACAATGACATCGACTTTGCTGTTGTTTTTACCTCTGGATTTCTTCTGTATTGGGAAATTACCATAGACTTTTGCCTAAAAATTAAATCATATTATGCCATACTTAAAATACTATATATATGTATGTGTATATATATATATATATATATAAATTATATTTCCTCATATAACATACATATATACAGATATATATTTACAGTATATTGTATTTTTTCAGATATATTCTGTATATATATGTCTGTATATATGTATATATATACTGTATATATATATATATATATATACATATATAAGTATATATATTTTTGGAAAATTCACTCCCAAACTAAAATGGTGCTTGTCCCTGTATAGGGTCAATGTGATGTTGTCAAAGATGGTTGTAAAATGGTCAGTTTGTCTGCCACAGCCACGTCTCTGCCTCTGCCTAGTCGCATGGTTCAAAGCGATGCAAACATTTCTCTTCCTCTGTGATTCCTCTGTATCCAGGCTACAGACCCAGATCTTGGGGAGAGTGGTCAGATCCATTATCGACTGGTCAACCACCAAGACCTGTTTTCTATCAATGCCAGTGGAGCTATCAGGACCATAGCTCCTCTGGACAGAGAGGTGAGTTACACAGGAGTATTACTGTATAGTTGGGAGAGATGAAGTGATAGTTTTTCTGCGTTTTCCTTAAACTGTTTATCTTCTTTCATCTTTAAGGAAAAAGAACTGTACGTGCTGATTGTTGAGGCATGGGATAATGCAGAGAATCCTCGGAGATCAAGGTTAACGCTGTCTGTGGAGGTTCTGGACGTAGATGACAACAGCCCAACTTTCACCCAGCAAACGTACAACGTCAACCTACCAGAGAACACGCCCAAAGATTCAGTCATATTACAGTTAAAGGTGAGTGAGACTGATGTGGTACATGTTTCCCCAAAGGATCAGGTCAGGTTTGCTGTGACATCAGCTGGAATTAGATATGCATCGAGGTAATGCTTACTCAGATTAACTCATTAGCATTCATGCTAAAGTGGTGCAATTCCATTGTTATGGCAGATCCTAGATGGTTAGATTTTAATTGCCCAGTGTGCTATGATGTAGTTGGCTGTAGTAGTAATTTACTTCATTCAAAGAAAATCCAGTCATATTTATTTACTTACTGTGGAGATATTCTGTCAATATTTTAAAATAATGTGCAATAATAATGGAACAAAAATGGTTGGGGACCGTTGGAATTCAGACTATGATACGAACAGAATAAAGTCTAAAAGGTGGAGATATTCTGTCAATATTTTAAAATAATGTGCAATAATAATGGAACAAAAATGGTTGGGGACCGTTGGTATAAATGTAACTACTCCGTAACAGACTAATACATGTTTCTGCAATTGATTATAATTTGATAGATTATTAAAAAGCTTTAATTTCTTAGGTTAAGAAACGCTGCTGCATGGACTTTACTAAATGCTTTTAAGCTTCCGCGGGCCACACGAAACAGTTTGGCGGTCCGCATTTGGCCCCCGAGCCTTGAGTTTGACACGTATGTATTAGAATATAAGACATAGGATGTAAAAATTATACATCTTTTGCATATTCTTTGATATTTATTTCATATGAAAAAGTGTCTCTGGTTTTGGGTAAACCCATCGGTTTCTGCAAGGCAGTAACACTGATGAGATTTCTGTTGCATGTATATAAAGGCTGTTCGTATTATCCTGGTCATTTGCCAGTATATAAGGGCTGTTCGTATTATCCTGGTCATTTGCCCTCCTCAGACACAGTTTCACACAGTTTTAGTTTGAAGGCGTCAAACGATAAGCTGCGGGGTCAAAAGAAAAGAATTGTTTTTTCACCAGGCGGTGTAATTATGTCACCTAAATGGGTCACATAATGTAAGGGTGACATTTTGTGGTGAGATTGCAACAAATAATGATTTCCGCAGTACCTTGTCTCGTTGGGTTATCTGCACTCATTTCAGGTTTCTTTTCCTTTTCCTCTTCAGTTTATCCATGAGTTGTTCTTCATGCCCACTCCAAAATGACAGTGTAAAGTAATGGCCCCCTGCAAAGCAAGGTTTTGACCTAAAATATAAAAAAATGTTTGTTCCATATACCGTCGTTGTACATAGCTGTTTAATAGCTGCAAAGAAATCCCAGTTGCAAAAGGGACATTTAATGACATATGAACCTGTTTGAATCAAGCTTAATAATTATAGACTTCATATTGTTCATTTTGCTCATGACCTCAGCCTTGCGTAAGTTAACTTTTTTTTTTTTCTACTCAGACCTTTGTACGTTTAAAATGTCAGAACTTCCCATCTGAATGTGAAGATTTTCCTCTATAAGTACTGCAGTAAAATAGTCAGGGAAGAAAAGTTACTAACAGCAAATGGATTTTAAATATTACCACCGCTGGCAAGCGAGGCAGATCTGTGGAAGCTTGTCGTTCTGGCAAATGTGAAAAATTCAGCCTGCTCTGAAAAACATAAGGAATAATTCTTTTTTTAAATTTATTTTACCCCCCACTTTTTCCAACTCACTTCTCCCACTCTGACACGTTATTTATTTTCTGTTCGTAGGCAACAGATGCAGACCTCAGCTCCAACCTCACATATCGAATCAGAAGTGAAGATTTGGACCAGGGCGTCTCTCAGATCTTCCGTATCAACCCAATTACTGGGGAGCTTTCCGTCCAGAAGCTCCTTGACTATGAAAACCTGACCGACCCTGAAGCCCCGTACATGTTCACAGTCGAAGCCTTGGACACGGAGGGAACCATGCCTCCTGGACTAGCCTCTGTTATCGTCAGAATTATAGTGGGTTTGGAATTATTTGTAGCTTACCAAATTTACCAAGCAAGTTTAAACAAGATAGTACTGTCGATCAAATGTTTACTTTAACATACAATAACACACCATTTACACTGTTTGCATGCGTTTGTGTTGAACTTTCTCTCTAGGACATGAATGATTTCTCTCCTGCGTTCAGCCGCTCAGTGTACCGAGGCATGGTCGCCCCGAATGCTGTCAAGGGAACCATCGTAACCACAGTGATGGCCAACGACTCTGACCCTGCGGTGAGCATTTGAAACTGCTGCTCTTTCTTCACACAGAGTTCCTCGAGCGCTTTTGCACACTGTGGGCAGATAATGCATAATGTTTGCTTCCTTCTTTTTCTTTGCTCGGGAAGGAAGGATTTTTTTTTTTTTTTCATAGGTTCTGCACAACATTACTGCAGTGGTTTTTATTGAAAGTTGTGTGGGTGGTTGGGACACCCAATGAAACACCATTAACTTTTGGCTCTCTAGTGGCTGTAAATTTTTTATTATTTTTTTTAAATAGTGACAAGGGGGATACAGGCTTTTAAATCCGGTGCTTTTGTTTAATGTGATTTGCAGTACCAGGGAACTTTTGGTTTACTTTTGGTGCGCTCTGAATTTCATGGCAGAGGAAAATGGTCTCTGCCCTCAGAACAACTGACTAAACTGTCAAAAAAGTATTAAACAATTCAAGTCCACACAGTTTAAGCCTCTGGCAAATGAACTCAGTCAGTGGCTACAAGAACTCAAGGAGGAAACAACCGATCGCCCACAATACCTTTCACACCACCCAGTCGGTGACATCCCATATACCGCAGTCCAGGATCGTCACACTGTACAGCAGCAAAAATCAGCAAAAAATTTTCCCTCTTCTTTAACACTTGTACATCACTGCAGGGAGAGAGGGCTCAAAAACAGACCTTGATAGTGTTGAGATATAGCGAGAATGACGTTAAATAAATAAAATGACATAAAAATACAAATATATTGAGTGATGACTTTTACCTCTCGCAGGAGAACAAAGTTTCAGAAGACATTTATTTTTTAAAACATAGTATTGAAATGATTCATTTTTCAAAATGAACATCAGTGAAATCAAGCAACTGTCATAAAATGAAAGAAAAAGAAATTGAAAGTGAATGTAGAATTCTGATGTACCCATAAAACTCCAGCGGTGTGTACTTTTATATGCATGAATGCACACTAAATTGAATTACAGCCTGCTAGGTCTCTGCCTTTCCCTTACATTAACTTGCACTATAATAGGTTTGCTACAATAACCTGCATTATCAGGGCCGCATCTCTCTGTCTTACAGAGTAACAGGGCACAGAAGAACTCTGAAGAATTGTTATCCAAAGTGTCGCCACATTTTGAGTTAGTCCATTTCCACTAATTCATGGCTGGTTATTAGCAGTGATATTGATATTGAGTGGTTAAATCATGTCATTCAAGTCTTTTATCTGGATCACTTTGCGTGTTTATCTCAATTACTCATTGCCATTTGGAGCCATAGTGAATGCTTCAGTTTTTTCATACTTTAGTAATACAATCCCGTTTAATTGAAAGCTGTGTTGTGACAGAAAAAAAAAAACAAAACATCATGAATGAGAACGAATGAGGAGCGTTAGGTTTTCAGATTTTGTAGTTCACATTATGGCAGAGAAAGTATTTAGTACTGCAGATTTACAGCAAACACATAAAGATAAATTTGACGTAGGTGCTTTTGTTTCCTCCAACATTTCAAAAACCTGCGCAATCACGATTGATATCAATCGTTAGACAGAGAGAGTACACGTTTGGCAGACTTTTTTTTTTTTTTTGCTCTTCATTTTTCTGCTGATGCCGTTCACTCAAATGTATTTACTAATCGTGTACGCTACCTAACGGATATAATAAATGTTGATTATCTCTTCACAGGGGACACCAGCAGGTCGAGTTCGCTATAAGGTGGACCGGGAATCGTATCCGTACTCTGCCAGTATATTTGATGTGGGGGAACAGACGGGGCATGTGGTCACCAAAGTTAACCTTAATGAGGAGCCCACCCTTACGTTTAGCGTGAGTATTACATGATCCTTAACCTTGATTTTGTTCCAATCCTTTATTTTTTTTATTTTTAATAATTAAGTACAACATGAATGAGACCCAAACAATAAAAACAAAGTCAGAATTTTGATGTGTTTGATGTCAGTACTGGAGGGGCAAGTTCAGGATAGTAAACAAGTCCAATGAGAAGCCGGCAAAGGTCACAAATGAAGCAAAATTGCACACAAACAAACAAGCAAAAATAATCTAGGGGAAAAAAACAAGAACAGAACAAGAATAGAACCATGTGGGATCAAGTCAAATTTAAATAACAAATCTAAATTCCGTGTGCACAGTTGACGTACTCTTCAAACTCTCAAATTGTAAACAATATCTAATACATTCCTCTTTGCTTTTTTTTTACAGTGGTATTAACTGCAGGTTTTTTTTTTTTATTATAGCACATGAATAGCATCATTAAAATGGATGTTGTCATTCATTTTACATTTAACTTGTTTACCAGCAGCATTTGTGCATGAAAGTATCTTTTGTGCGCAGCAGTCTCAGACGACCTCCATCTGAAGTATTTCACAGAAAATTCTATTACTTCCAAAACTGCCCCCTCCCCACTCCCCCCCACCTCCTCTGCACTTGACTGTGGAGCTTCGGGCAATGCTAATTTTGTTTTTTTTTTTATTGGGCTTTAATTAACACAACAAGAATTCAGCGTCCTCTGAAGATGTCACGCAGGGGACTCATTCTGCCTTGTTTGTTCCTGGTAACTCCGACAAAATGCCTCACTACAGGTTTTTCTCCGAATGCAGCTGAGATAAACACTGTCTGAGGTGTACATTATACAATGATAGCTTTCCATACAGAGTGAATGTTTTAGTGCAAATCTAGATGCATTTTGCAGTTCAGGTGTGTTTTTTTTGTGGGTGAGGCTGTTTTTATCCATCTATCTATCCATCC